GGTTTGGAAAAACCAGTCGTCCTTGAGCAATTCAATCTTTCGTTTAACTGATTGTCAAAGTGTGTGGGACGATATTAGTTTTGAGAGCCCATTTAACTATACACTACCAGCGACATTGGCAAAGCAGAACACATTCTACTGCTGTAATGAGTGGGCACGGCCTCAGTCACAAAAGTTCACTTCAAATGGGAAAAAACCAAGACGATTATGGTTCGAAAATAAATAGCTTGTCTTTTTTATTGTAGGCTGCTCGGTAATGGAGAACGGTTTCGATCCGCTTTCAGAAAATATTGAATTTGTGCATAATATACCAGAGAATCGTTCAAATAACTCAAGTCTTATATGAACAAATTCTTTACAGATGCTGCTTGATTTCCTGATTCATTGACCAATGTATTATGAAAGAGCTTTGGTAAATATGATCGAGACCCAAAGCGGGCAAACTGAAAAGCCCACATTATCCGACGGTTCACATTGGTTGCTGCGCTGATATTCTTTCAAAGTCAGTGCTCTATTGCGGGAAATACTTACAATCATCTGTTTTTCTACTTGACGTGTAGGGGCTTTCGACGCCACTAAATAGACTACACGAGCAAGGACCGATGAAGAACATCACACATTTTCACTGTTATGTGATGCTGAGATTTGAGTGATGATAATGTTTCATTCCAAAGGGAATATTCTTCATGTATATAGCAAATAAAGCGTGAACTGCAAAGCTAGTAAACACTGTTCATCTCTTTCGACCGGATCGGGTCTCATCAGCGGTGCAAAGCCATCCACCCAACTTGGAACATCATAAGCGGAAAGCAAGCGTACAATCCACTGGCCCACCGGGTCGTAGATCAGACCGTTTCTTCTTTTGGATACACTCGATACAGCACAACCCGTCATTGTGAGTGTGATAATGGCATCCCACCTCACTTATCTCAGCATTAGCTTTCGGGGTTATCATTCGGTTGAAAACATTTTCAACCTGATTAGTTGTTACATGTTTCACTCCTTGTTGGTTTGCAGGAATCAACTGTGGTTACAGAAACAAAGCAACCCGTTAGAGTGCTTTCAAATACTATGTAATAGTAGGAAAAAGGAATATCTTGGAAAATCATCCATTCAACGCTTCTCGAGCAATTACTGGAATTCCCCCCCCCCCAACCGAGGTGAATTTTCCGCGACAAGGTGTACGGTTAACTGCATGGATAGACAGGGTTCTGCATGATTCTGTACACTAAGAACAAGTTTCATTGAATTCGACGGTACTGAAGGGAATATGAGTGCAATGATGTCATTATTTTGCTTACGTTGTGGAATGACATTTCTCAACCACCTTGGTAGTCATTCTTTGTGGACGATACAAATTCTTATAATCGCTTTGCAGCCATGGAGTCCACACCCCTGAATGACCTGCTCAAGCTGCGATTGACTGGAGCTTGATAACAATCCTGAGAACAGCATAAGTTGAAATTCAGCAAAGACTCATCATCGCAAACTGAAGTAACTTTCAGCTGCAAAAAATGCCCTGGAGCATTTTGTAGAATAGCCTGGGGTTTTCCTGAAGGATGAAACCGAGAGCTTTCTCATCAGAACAATATGGAAGTTGTTGACATCCCAGAAATTTGTGGTCCGGTGATAATGTTACCAAATTATCACTGCGGGGACGTGTGTTCGAATCGTAACACCACTGACAGAATTGATTGGCAGCCCTTTGAGTGTCCTCTTCTTCCTTCCTGAAAATTGCTTAGTTATTTATTTAATGAAAGAAAGTGAAAATGAAAAAGAAACGAAAAAAGAGTATTGAAACCGAGTTTTCTTGTAATGGGATACTGCAGTACATTTTCATACATTGAATTCGACGTGATTTTTCATCGAATGTTGATAAGCAGCACTGAGTGTTCCCTGAAGTGCACTCAGGTTTTGCCACTAATTCCCATATGTATGCACCAAAAGAACTGGACAACTTTGAAGACCAGGCGCGGATCCCCGTGAGACCCCACAGGAAAAGTTGATAAGACCAGATAGTAGCTCGGAGACAAGAAATGCCATGGTACTTTTGTTAAAGGATTTCTTTTATCCAACCCAAGTGTCATTTTTGTTAATTCTCCTCTTAAATGATTTTGGCTCACACGATCAAATGACTTAGAAAAATTGATGTACTCTAATTCCACCGCATCGCTGTGATCAACTTCGTCTGTCACTTACCCTATTTCAAGAAGCACGTATTGTTCTTTGTCAACTGAAATTGCCTGTCACAATTAATTCCATTAATTTTGATAATACACACGATGGAGAGGGATGAGGAGGTAATTAGCCTGGGCGCTGTGACAGCCTGCTTTGTTTATAGGTGAAATCGTTTCATAGTTGTTGTACTGTAGAACAGATCTCGGAATAGTTCACCTAATGGTTGATCTGTTTTACTTACGGCAGTGGTAAGGGTATAATTGTAGACATTATCTATCCCAAAGATTTCCAGATGTACATGAATGAGTCCGCTAAATTTTCTGCTCACAACGTATGTGTATCACAGTGGGGTGCAAAACAGGAAGGTAGGTAAATGCATCGAATGCTATTTGAACAACGAGGAGCAGATGGAAATACTGTGCCTGCCAAACTATCAGTGAATCTGGTCCCATGCTGGTTTTCCCAACGATTCCAGTTGAAAGACAGATGAAAACAGCTAGAGCTCTTTTCTGTAGCACTGACTAAGAGAAAGTGGTATATATTTATAGGGTTGCTTCAGGTCTAGATCTTCCCGTAATGGAAGTTACGAGAGCCCCAATGGAGAGAATGGACAATTTAGGTTGCTTCATTCTGTTCGTTGTCCTATCACACATCTAGTACAACGGAGAAGACGCCGGCCCATTCCCAAAGTAGAGACTACTCCCAACACGTTTTAAATTCCCACCATGGAAATTCTCAGGGTAAGATCAAGTATCCCTTGACGCAACCGATTGAAAATGTAATCTTTACCTGGAACCTTCTCCACTTATATTCTTTTGGGGGTGGATGTTTGCGAACCATGAATAGTAACCATTCACTAAAATATCACAACCTCTGAACCGAATTGCTCAGCTAAAAGCTGAATGATTGGCTCGAATCACACGATGGACCAAATGTCAATATGTGTTTAGCAGTCAACGCGGCACGCATAATTTGCGCCTGGCGTAGACCCCATTCACACTCCACAACCCTGGTGGGAATATCCTACCTTCCATCTATCACAAGCTTCACACATTGTTCTCTGGAGATCATCATTTTGAAAAATAAAGCGTTCTAAATAACAGTTTCACCCCCCCTCAATTCATAGTTTCAGGGGGTTTCCGAGTTACTGATTTTTCGCGAACGGAAAGGAATGCACTTATCAAAGTGGTGGACGTGTAGTTTGGCCATAAGATAAACAATGGATCAAGAAAAGAACGCAGATGATGTAAATGACGTATAACTAGATTTATTGGAGTTAATTCTCACAGTCATTGTGGATAAAACAATATGTATTCATTTTTCATCAAGTACAAAAATCATTTTCGTAGTTTCAGTTTGATATGCCCGTCTTTAGGAGTACATGGGGGGGGATTAGGATTTCTCGTGCACCAAACAGATTCTCAGACGACCCAGAGCGAGTTATCAGTTTCACATATATATGCAGACACAACCTGTAGTTAAAAATTACAAATAATTAGGATAGATTTATGGCTAACTTAAACCGTACTTTGGTGCACTGTAGATGGCTTAAGTCGACCATATTAAGCAGGCTATCTTCAGAATGTTTTAACGTTATCTCAGTTATAGTCAAAGCATAAATTTGGGGCGCGTACGCACGAATCAGAAAGAGACTTTGTGCATGTGCGTTTGGAATCAGATTTGATTTTAAGCCACTCTATCATTTTTAACTACTGGTTGCAATTTCAGTGGTAAAGCTTCGGTATATTTTAGAATCTAACTACTTGGTGTAAGAAAACTCCCGATTCACCGGTATATACTGCATGCTACATACATGCTACATCGAATAGCGCATGGCGATCATCTTCACCTATAAGGAAACATGCATGCAGTGTTTCCAATACGACTGCACCGGCCGGCATTGATTACTGTTTCCTAGTATGGTAAAATACGAGCCATATGCGGGACAAGTGAGCAATAGTGTATACAAAGGGTTCTGCATGATTGCCTTGGGGAAGGGGGAGAGGAATCCAAAGGTCACTTCAGGAAGGTCCTGGTGATCATTTTCCCAGATTGACGTATTAAATTTGCAAAGAACTTTTTACATTTAGATTTACAAGAAACAGATAAGTACAGTGCGTTTAAATTCCCGTGAACATCTTGAATCACCTGGTTGCCCGGTTTCCGACTTCCTGGAAAAATGACACTCGATTCAGTAGTATTTCGAATGTTTACAATAATATGACTTCCAAAAGCGACGTTTTTATTTGACGCTTGTGGCTGATCACTGATTACAGTCATCCCTCACAGTTGGCCCAACCTAAAATGTTTTGCTATTCCCAAACTGATATCGATTGCATGTATTCTACCCTATTGTCAAAACCAAACAAAATAATCCCATATCGAAATACAAAAGGAATCCTTCGAAAATCCATTGAAATTAAGAGACAGTACAACAGGACACCGGTGGTTGTAAAATGAAAGCCATAAAGCTTCTGTCTGAAAAGCCTACTTTTTGTATTTTGAATCCTCCACGTTGGACCGTTTTATAATAAAAACCTATGGAATACAACCATCTGAATAAAGCCCTGATACATTAATCAAAATAACTCAAAGAAAGAATCGTCTATTTTATTCGTCCTATGGCTTGTTTGCCAAGATAGGTATGCAGCAGATAAATGAATAGTAATGCACGCCTGAAATTAAATGGTAATTAAAATACAATAAAAATGCTGTTCTCTGCACCAAAAAAATAAGCGAAAATCAATTGTTGGCATGGATTCAAATTTATTTATGCAAAATAACATATTATGATTTGAAATACAATTGCTGGGGTGATAAATTCATTTCCCTTTGAAACAGGTTTCCAGCAATTTGTACAATTCACTGGAGTCCAGTTCACCGTCTTTGTTCAAATCATATTTGCTGAAGTACTGTTTTGTCGTCCTTTGGTACTCCTCATCGGGACAGAGTGCAAGTACTTCTTGTAGCGATACTTTTCCATTTTTATCCTTGTCAACTTCTGCTATGAATTTTTCCACGGCTTGCCGATATTTCCTGAATGGAAACAGAATGACGTGAAATTCAGTGAAATATATTTCGTAATTGAAGGCAACCTCCTATTCCAGTGCTACATGCCTTGTCTTCGTTTGTAGTACTGTGATAAGCATCTAGAGCCGCACGCGCAAACGAAATAGTTATGACAAATCGTTACACACAGGTTTAACAAGTGCTCCATTAGAATATTATACTTGTCTGCGTAAATTCGGGATTACGAAAACCGACAGCACTGTTTTGGTATCAATAATTTTTGATAAGTGCGAACTGCTGACAAAGTTAAGTAATAATGTGTGAGACAGAGACACTCAGAGCAATATTCCAAAACAGCGACATTTAGCGAATGAGAATTTAGTGGGAAAATGATGAGGGAATCTCAGGTGGAGCAATCAATAAATTATCTAAGTGAATTTTAGAAATGAGGGTGGTTATACGGCAAAACGTGAATGGGTATGAGAGCAGGCAGGTCTCAGAACACAAACCAGGCTTCGTGTCTTTGGAAACCAGTCTTCAGTTACTGTTCAGCGTTTCACTATTGACTACAAGTAACAATAAATTTCATGCAACGGACTTACTCGTTCTGCATGGTTTTCGTTAGTCTGCAATTGTAGATAATAAAACCAGTTGAGTGGTTTCTAGTAGAAAACCAATTAAAATGTAGCTGCAATCCATCAGCCGCACCACTACCATGAAGTCGATTTGGTATTCCGACAGTGTGGCAACATCAATGGATATAGTGCCAGAGTTGTACAAAACGGTTCGTGAAAAATACTCCTACACCGGCAGGGGACACCGATGGATTCCGATTTATTTCACTGAATGTGTACGCATAATAATAGGTTATGATACGTAATGAATAAAATGAACATATAAATTAAAGCCCTTCATTTTCTAGATTCACAATCCACTCACAGGTTGTACGAGCGACGCGCACGATTCTCTATTCACTTATTGGCCGCAGTGTGAGTCAACACACCACTTATTTATATCCAAAAGTATCACATTGAACTTCACAATCTGTTCTTCACGTGTCCATTTCTGTTCTATATGTGTGGTTCTCTGTCCCTCCAGATGTCCGTTCATCAACCCTTCTGTAGCGAAAACGTGTACTATAGTCAAACAAGGCAAACAGTTCGCTGATTTCAAATCGTGTTTTGGAAGCACAGAATGGTTCTGTTCCAATATAGATATTGTGAGTGAATCCAGACTTATTGCACAAAAGTAAACCTATATCGAAAGATCTCTGTTTGTGTGGCAATGATTCACTGTGGCATATGTTAGCAAAGAACAGCGCAAAAAACGATACACACATTCAGCACTGATGCTAGGGTTTAAAATTAGCCCTCATTGAGAAGTGCAAAGCTGAATTTGGATAAGCATATCAGCGAACGGAATCGGGCTTGGTGAAGATGAAATGGGTTACCACAACGTAACAAGAAACACGAGGAATACCCTTAGAGAGAATATGAAAAAGTATGCATGGATATAGAATAGCTCCATACTGCACCTCGGAGTTGTTCACCAGGTGTTTAGATTAAGTCTTTAAAAGTTTGCCGGAGGGCAGTCAAGCGGTAAAATAGTTGGGTAAACAAAGATAAAAAATTAATTGGCACATTCAAAATGCTTCATTTTTCGTAGCAGTATTGATCGGGAAACGTAGTCGATTGCTGAGCAGTAATCAGACGTGCCAAATTAGTAATAAAGTCAATGCCAGTGGTGATGTCACGTGTTATTGCGTAATGCACAGCAAGATGATTGTTCTGTTTACAAGGTAGGCAGCTCCGGTAGGACGTTGAACGGAACACGGTCTTTCTTACTGGGTCGTTTTGATTATATTGTCCGTTACTAAAATACCAACCTTCTTGGATATGCACACTTAACTTATTTAACTTTTTACTTTATGTCGGCTGGCTCCTGGGAGAGGATAAACCGACGCCATGAATTTCCCGAATTGCATTTGCCCACACTCGGTATTCTGCGACAAGATCAAGTTGGGCTTCAGCTTGACTTTCATTGGCAATTGTCGTAGATGAAGTGAAGACCAAGGTTTTCAGGATCCCTGCCAAGCGTGTCCAGTCAAGAATTTAGCTGACTGTATCCACAGTACTATTCTGGGCAGGGAAGTGATATCAAGGCAGATTTAATCATATTGTTATCAGACATACGATGTGACTAAACCATCGTAGTTGCTACCATTGCATTAGCGTTACCAGCCATATGGGTTTTAAATGCCGGTTACCACCGCTTCATTTGAAAGATGAATAAGTAAACACGAGCCAACGCCCGCGCGCGCCCTTACATTGCTTCAAATTTTCATTTGCGCAAACTATAAATCACGCCGGGAAAGGCAAAGATTAGATAGTGAGGCTTTGGGTTTGACTGTTTCTTAAAGATGAGGGAAATACCGTTCTAAACTAAATTAAGAATAATCATTGTCCGTCCAAAGATTCTTTGAAGACCAAAGTGCAAGCGTGGAGAAATGTTTGCAATCTATTGATTCAAACACAGATAATTATATAAACATATATCTGTATTAATCATGTCATACAGTATTAGGTGACCGGAGTTGGTTTTGTCTGTACGCGTGTGTGTGTGTGTGTGTGTTTGGTGACCACATGCTATGTTGGCAACATGCCACCCAGTGATGAATGCCGATCGGAAGTGAAAATGGACAGGAAAAACTTGGAATTTCGCTGGAACATTTCAGTTTGATGCACGCACAAGGTGAATTACAAACGCATAGATTGACCACAGCAGGACCGACATACAATAATAATGAATAAAACAAGTATTTAAATTCAATTCTCCCTTTATGGTCCCTCGAAATGTTTTTTATTCTTCCTTTGATCCAGTTTACCTCTGTCAAACTGAGTCATTCACTGAAACCGCTTTGTATGTGATTACTGAGTCCATTCAAGGGGCATTTATCAGTTTTAATCATGATCGGGTCGAATGATTTTTTCTCGCAACTGATCAACGAGCCTCGTTTGCCTTCATATACGCAGTTATATTCTCTTCTACAGAAAGCTGCTTCACTGTCTCTTCTTTACGATTACCTCTCTGGTTTCAGGTATTGTAAACAAGATTAGACGTGTACCAATCCTGTTGTCTTGATGCACCCAGCTAATCTGGCTAGTCAAGATTCTCTTTCCAAACCTTGGATTTGTTTAGTTTAGCATTCTTTGTTTCCCTTGAGCTCTATTACACCTTTTCCCATCAAGCTTTAGCCAAAAC